TTAGAAGAAGAGGAGATTGGATTTATACCCCACCCTTCACTACCCAAGGGAGTCTCAGAGCGGCTTACAAACTCCTTTCCTTTCCCCTCCCCACAACAGACACCCTGTGAGGTAGGTAGGGCTGAGAGAGCTCTGACAGAAACTGCCCTTTTTCAAGAGTTCTGCCAGAACTATGGCTTGTCCAAGGTCATCCAGCAGGTGCAAGTGGAGGAGCAGGGAATCAAACCCGGTTCTCCCAGATTAGAGTCCGCGCACTTAACCACTACACCAAACTGGCTCTTCTAGTTGCCCTTTTCTACACTTTTTCCAATGTTATAATATCTTTTTTGAGGTGTGGTGACCAGAACTCTACACAGTATTCCAAATGAGGTCGCACCATTGATTTATACAGGGCCATTAGGATACTGGCTGATTTGTTTTCAATTCCCTTCCTAATAATCCCCAGCATTACGTTGGCCTTTTTTATAGCATACCTCTCGACATTTATAGCATACCTCTCGACATTTTCAGTGAGTTATCTATTACGAAGCCAAGATCTATTTCTTGGTCAGCTTCTGCCAGTTCAGACCCCATCAACGTGTATTTATAGTTAGGGTTTTTGGCTCGAATTTGCATCACTTTACACTTGGCCACATTGAAACCCATAAATCATAGGGGATCTCTCTTTTTTATAATAGGTTTTTATTAATTTTTTACAAATAAAGAAAAACAACAAGCAAACAAGAAAGTCTACAAGACAGATTAACATGAAACAAACAGGAGACTTGTACCCATTGTAACTAATTTGTTTTATATACATAGAATCTTTCTTATATGCACCCTCACATGTAAAATAATATATAAACTGGAAAATAGTATAAAATTATTGTGTGCATTTTTGCAGGTACACCTCAATCCAATTACATAATCTTGACCATGTTTTTTCAAAAATGTCTTCTTTTTTATCTTGTAATTGTAATGTTAGTTTGTCCATCTCTGCCGTTTCTAAAAGTTTGTAAATAATTTCTTCTTTTGATGGCACTTCTTCTTTCCTCCAATATTTTGCATACAAAATCCTTGCAGCAGTTAAAACATGTATAATCATACATGCATCTGGTTTTTTAAATCTATCTGGAATAATATTTAATAAAACAGTTCTGGTAAAAATGGTACAGTTGTTTCTAATATTTTTAAATATCTCATGTATCCAAACCCAGTATTTCTTAGATATCTTACATGACCACCACATATGAGAAAAGGAACCAGTATATTGCTTACATTTCCAGCATACATTTGACATATTTGGATAAAATTTTGCTAAATTATCTGGGGTTATATGCCATCTATAAAACCAGAACCTCTACAATAGTCCCCCTCCCAATCTGAGATTAGAGGTTCAAAATCTCAGTTGGCATCTAGGGCTTAACACATTAGCACCTCATTCCCAGAGATGCACACTTAAAACTCCATGGTAGCTTGTGGTCAGGCACAGGAAATAGACTTGGAATCCCAGTTACAACATCAAGGACAAGTTAGAAATAAGAATAATTTTTATTCAGTCCAGAGCATTGCAAGTAAACTATGAAAGATTTCAAAACAAGAAAGGCTAGGGCTGTTTGCCTTAACTAAACAGTACTGATTCATAGTTACCAAAATTCAGGAATCCATCAGTCCAAGAGAGTCCAAGTCATACAGTCCAATTAGACACCAAGGGATTTTGAAGAGGAACACCATGTGCTACAGCTCACAAGGCAGTCCTTTGTCTCCAGGACAGCATTTCAGGGTGCAATAAACAAGCAGATAGAGCAGGAACAGAGAGCAGAGGGCAGGGATCAGCGATCAGAGAGCTCTCTCTCTCTTTGGGATCAAGAAATTAAACCCCAATTCCAGTCATGATCAGCTGTGGCCATCAGCCAACTAGGAGCAGAAGACAGGGGATGTGCCCAATTTTTGGTTGTCATGGCTACGTGTGGGGAAAGGCTAGAAGTTTGGAGACCACGCCTGCAGTCACATGACTCTAAACTCCAGCTTCTCCATTGCTGACGTGACTTTTTGCATGTGAGGCAGAGCCAGGCACCCTCAGGTCTGCCTCTTCCCTTAGAGGTGTGAAAGAATGTGTGGTTATATGGCATAGTTATAAAATTTCTCTGGCCAAATGGTCGGCCATTTGGCCTGTGAGAGGAAATAAGACACAGCATGTTATCAGAATGTAATCACAGGAGCAGGCATGGACTTTTAGAAATCAATATTTCTATACACCCTCCCCCTAAAGATGGAATTTGGGGTAGATGCCTCAATTTTCATCTAATCTACTCCTCAGGGACATGCATACATGTGAGGATTACAGAATACATCATTTCATAATGAATACAGAAACAATGCACAGAAAGAAAACAATGCACAGAAAACAAAACCCATTTCACTTCATGAAGCTTCCAATTCCACTTCAGGCACAACTTACAAGGACATGTTTTCCAGTTTACAGAAGGGAAGAGCAAGTCAAAACACAGCTCAGATTACAGAAAACAAGCAATCAGGTTAGACCATTTAAGCACAATAAAGGAGGTCTACATCACAAGAAATTCTAGCAATCAAATTCTTCAAACCATTACAATGAGAAACACTTTGGCTTCTCCCAGCCTCACAAGAGGTCACATCAGGTTCCCACAGCTGTCGTAGAGACACTGCAAGGGGGGGTCTGGAGTGAATAGAGGGATCCAACACATCTGACCAGCAACTGTGGCAGGGCTGGCCAAGTCTGGCATCCCAAAATCACTCCCACATACACACAGGCAAAGCAAGGCGAAGCTTGCATACCAACAATAAGAGACTTATAGACCAATCTGTCCCCATTAGGACCTTGGCGGCACATGCCTCACGGAACACCACAGCATTCCCGCCCACAAACCTCTAAAACACACCAACTTTAGTCAGCACTTCCCGAGGCTTTAGATCAGCTCAAAAACCTTGCACTTCGGTAAAATCATTGCGTCTCCCCCTCTCTCTCTGTGAAGGGGGGTCCAGGGGTTTTCAGGACCTTGGCTAGCGACCGCGTAGAGCTAATCGGACAAGCCTACTTCCCCCCCCCCCCCCCCCGAGATCAGGGAACCTTTCCAGCTGATCAGCTCAGGTTCACTAGGGAACACACACACAGACACAGACAGAGGCCATCTCAGCCCCTTAAAACAAAACAACCCACAAGTTTAACAGGGTTTACCTGCGTTTCAGAAGAAATCTCTCAACCCTCCCCAGTCCAAATTACCCTTTGTCCACACAGCTGCAACGCTGATAGCCTGAGGTTAGGCTTGGACAAACTTGGCAGGGGTGAAGGCGCCTCTCTTCTTGCTTGCCACACAGGACAATAAGCTCTTATATGTGTTGAACTTTTGCATTAAAAGCACAAACCGGATTTGGAATCCACAGGTTTCTTGACAGGCGAAGTGGGAGAAGGTTCTCTCTTCTCCACTGGGGTGCGCTGCTCTGTGGCTTTGGGGAGGCTTCTCTGCAATTGGGGGAGTAGATCCTCCAATGCTCCTCTCCGTTGCTCGGCAGGCCTTGTGCAAACACAGCTGCCTCCTGGCCCCTCCAAGGCAGCAACATCGTTAGACGACAGGCGGCAGAATTGCTCACTAGGCCGTTGGCCGAAAGGTTCAGCACCTCTCTTCCAGCCGTCGAGTGGACAGCTCCAAGATGATTTCAGCACTGATCAGCTCAGAGGCCCTCTGTTGCCAGTCTTCAGGCAGGGGATTCCAGGAGTTCGCAACCCAGAACTCGCCCTGGTTACCCACTTCAGCAATGTTGATGAGAAACACCTCTTCCTCCAGGGAGCAATGTTCACTTCCCTTAGCCATGTCCAAAATTCCTAGCTAACACTTTTTAAAATAACAAAACTTCTCTTACAGTCTAATGCAAGCTCTGTACAGGTGAATGCACCCACGATTTTTGCAACTCAAGCCTGTCCAGGGATGAGGGGAATCTTGTACTGTTACAGTACAGTAAACAACAAACCAAGGAGCTGCGGTGGCTCAAGTGCTTAAGATGCTGAACTGCAGGCTGTGGAAGGTCAGTAGTTCAGCAGTTCGAGACCCGGGTGCCGCATGATGGAGTGAGCTCCCATCTCTAGTTCCAGCTCCTGCCAATCTAGCAGTTCGAAAGCAAGAAATTGCAAGTAGATAAATAGGGACCACTTCGGTGGGAAGGTAACAGCATTCCGTGCACCTTGGTGTTTAGTCATGCCGGCCAAATGACCACAGAAACGTCTTCGGACAGTGCTGGCTCTTTGGCTTGGAAACGGAGATGAGCACCGCAACCCTAGAGTCGGATTCGACTGGCTTTTGAGCAAGGGAACCTTTACCTTCTTTAAACAACAAACCACGAGATGGCTATACCTTCTCTGGTGAAAAATTTCAAAACAAGAAAGGCTAGGGCTGTTTGCCTTAACTAAACAGTAATGATTCATAGTTACCAAAATTCAGGAATCCATCAGTCCAAGAGAGTTCAAGTCATACAGTCCAATTAGACACCAAACACCATGTGCTACAGCTCACAAGGCAGTCCTTTGACTCCAGGACAGCATTTCAGGGTGCAATAAACAAGCAAATAGAGCAGAAACAGAGAGCAGAGGGCAGGGATCAGCGATCAGAGAGCTCTCTCTCTCTTTGGGATCAAGAAATTAAACCCCAATTCCAGTCATGATCAGCTGTGGCCATCAGCCAACCAGGAGCAGACAGGGGATGTGCCCAATTTTTGGTTGTCATGGCTACGTGTGGGGATAGTCTAGAAGTTTGGAGACCACGCCTGCAGTCACATGACCCCAAACTCCAACTTCTCCATTGCTGACGTGACTTTTTGCATGTGAGGCAGAGCCAGGCGCCATCCCATCTGCCTGTTCCCTTAGAGGTGTGAAAGAATGTGTGGTTATATGGCATGGTTATAAAGTTTCTCTGGCCAAATGGTCGGCCATTTGGCCTGCGAGAGGAAATAAGACACAGCATGTTATCAGAATGTAATCACAGGAGCAGGCATGGAGTTTTAGAAATCAATATTTCTATACACCCCTGTATGAATCCTTTCATGGTAAGTAAGGCCTCCTTTGCTACTAAAACACTTTCCACACTCCATGCATTTATAGGGTTTCTCCCCTGTGTGAATTCTTAGATGCGAAGTTAGATGATTCTTCTGTCGAAAGCTTTTCCCACATGTTTGGCATTCATATGGTTTCTCCCCTGAATGAATTCTTTGATGGAAAGTTAACATATTCTTCTGTCGAAAGCTTTTTCCGCACTCCAGGCATTTGTATGGTTTCTCCTCTGTATGAATTCTGTTATGGTAAATAAGGCCTCCTTTGCTACTAAAACACTTTCCACACTGCTGGCATTTGTACGGGTTCTCCCCTGTATGAAGTATTTGATCGAAAGTAAGAGTATCCCTCTGTGGAAAGGTTTTTCCACACTCCAGAGATGTGTATGGTTTCTCCTCTGTATGAATTCTGTCATGGTAGGCAAGGCATGCTTTGCTACTAAAACACTTTCCACATTGCAGGCATTTATATGGGTTCTCCCCTGTATGAAGTCTTTCATGAAAAGTTAACGTATTCTTCCGTCGAAAGCTTTTCCCACACTCCAAACATTTATATGGTTTCTCCCCTGTATGAATTCTGTCATGGTAGGTAAGGCTTATCTTGCGGCTAAAGCCTTTCCCACACTCCAGGCATTTATATGGTTTCTCCCCTGTATGAATTCTGCAATGGTAAGTAAGGCTTATCTTGCGAACAAAGCATTTACCACACGCCAGGCATTTATATGGTTTTTCCCCTGTGTGAATTCCTTGGTGGAAAGTTAAAGTACCCTTCCGTGAAAAGCTTTTCCCACACTCCAGACAGTTATATGGTTTCTCCCCTGTATGAAATCTGTCATGGTAAGAAAGGCCTGTTTTGCTAGTAAAGCACTTTCCACACTGCAGGCATTTATATGGGTTCTCCCCTGCGTGAATTCTTTGATGGCAAGTTAACGTATTCTTCTGTCGAAAGCTTTTCCCACACTCCAAACACTTATATGGTTTCTCCCCTGTATGAATTCTGTCATGGTAAGAAAGGCCTGTTTTGCTAGTAAAGCACTTTCCACACTGCAGGCATTTATATGGGTTCTCCCCTGCGTGAATTCTTTGATGGCAAGTTAACGTATTCTTCTGTCGAAAGCTTTTCCCACATGTTTGGCATTCATATGGTTTCTCCCCTGAATGAATTCTTTGATGGAAAGTTAACATATTCTTCTGTCGAAAGCTTTTTCCGCACTCCAGGCATTTGTATGGTTTCTCCTCTGTATGAATTCTGTTATGGTAAATAAGGCCTCCTTTGCTACTAAAACACTTTCCACATTGCAGGCATTTATATGGGTTCTCCCCTGTATGAAGTCTTTCATGAAAAGTTAACGTATTCTTCCGTCGAAAGCTTTTCCCACACTCCAAACATTTATATGGTTTCTCCCCTGTATGAATTCTGTCATGGTAGGTAAGGCTTATCTTGCGGCTAAAGCCTTTCCCACATTCCAGGCATTTATATGGTTTTCCCCCTGTGTGAATTATTTGATGGGCAGTAAGGCTTCTCTTGTGACTGAAGACTTTTCCACACTCCAGGCATTTATATTTTTTCACCTCTCCCTGAATTCTCTGCATACCCCTAGCTGAAAGAAAGAGACACTTGTCAGGACACTCTGAAGAATGGTGAGGAAACATTAGAGAATGAACTACATTAACTGTGGTAGAGAGTACAAGAATTCAAAAGCTTGTTGTCTAGACACACTTTCAAAAGCCTTTGTTGGTAATCTGGTCCTGTGATATCTTATATTGTACTGAAGCGGGGGTGGCCAAACTGTGGCTTGGGAGCCACATGCGGCTCTTTCACACATATTGTGCGGCTTCTGGAAGGGCGGCCGGGGAAGCTCGATATCACTGGCAAACAAATATCACTGGACAAATAAATATCATCAGTCCCATTTGGCAGTCTCATTTAAAGTTAATAAAAAGCAATTTTTTTTACAGGGAGGGCAGGGTATAAACCAAACAAAATAAACAGATAGATAAATAAATCTGCATATTTACCAGTAAAATCGTGTAATATTTGTTCATGTCTTGTGGCTCTCAAACATCTGACATTTATTTTATCTGGCTCTTATGTTAAGCAAGTCTGGCCACCTCTGTACTAAAGGATCAGTAGTTCAGAGGGGCTTCTCAAAAATGAAGCCACAAGCCGCAGAGTTTCTCCTCAGGTAGTGATGGAGGCTACAGATTACGTAGTTGTTTGCTCTTCAACCTCTACAGGCACCTTTTCAGCACTCACCCCAACTCTTTGGAGGAGAACCAGCTAAGAAAGGTCACAGAAACCCACCAGCCCTAGGAAGGAAGCAGAAGGAACCCCCCACCCCACCACAGACCTGACAATCCCTCCTCTTCAGACAATAACAGGAAGAGATGCTCATCTTCTCCTTCCAGCCAGGAGATCAGGTCAGGTTTGGCCGTCACGGGTCCTTTTCATCACAAAAGAAAAGCAGAAAATTACAATTGTACTCTGTGGGCCTCAGTTTGGCTCTCCCAAGCCAACTTGACTAAATCCCTGCAGGCACAACAGGCAAGTAATAGGTGTGCGGTGAAGTACTGGACAGAGCCAATGATCCGGAGAAGAAATGATCACCCAGTGAGCTTTCAGTCCTTGATAAAAAGAATCGGTCAGTCTATCAGCAACATTTTTTTTTACAAAATCATCACGACTGATTTCCTCTTCCTCGGAATACGAGACGATCGGATTTGGGAGTCAGCGGACACCGAGACCTCTTAAACAGTTGGGAGAGCCCATTTGGTGTCGTGGTTAAGTGCGCGGACTCTAATCTGGGAGAACCGGGTTTGATTCCCCCACTCCTCCACTTGCACCTGCTGATGTGACCTTGGGTCAGTCACAAGCTCTGGCACAGCTATTCCTGAAAGAGCAGTTTGTGTCAGAGTTCTCTCAGCCCCACCCACCTCGCAGGGTGTCTGTTGTGGGGAGGGGAAGGGAAAGGAGTTTGTAAGCCGCTCTGAGACTCCAAGTGAAGGGCGGGGTATAAATCCAATCTCTTCTCTTCTTCTCTTCATGATAGTCTGCTGGCCATTTCCAAATCACCCAGCTGCTAAGAAGATAAGAGAAGCCAAGCTGGAGCAGGCCAATGGCCCCTCTAGTCCAACACTCTCTCACACACATTGAACAAAAGCCAGGTGCCATCAGGAGGCCCACCGGTGGGGTCAGAACTCCAGAAAACCTCCCACTGTTGCTCCCCTCTGTCCCATATGTTTTCCCAATCCCCTCTTGAAACTGTTTATGCTTGTACCCCACCACCACTTGCCACTGCAGTGAATTCCACGCATTAATTACTCTGCTGACCCTCTAAACGTCACCCGGGTCACATCCAGCGTTCCCTCTAAGCTGAGTTAGTGTGAGCTAGCTCACAGTTTTTTAGCCTCCGGCTCACACATTTTTGTCTCAGCTCAGGAAAGATGGCTCCAGAGCAAGCTAATTCATGCAGTAGCCAAATCACTCGCTCACAACTTTAATGCCAGCAGCTCACAAAGTAGAATTTTTGCTCACAAGACTCCACAGCTTAGCGGGAACATTGGACATCTGTTGGCCCTTTTCAGGTCTCTCTCCTCCAGGGAAAACAACAGGGGTGGGTTCTGCCCCGGGGCAGGAGAAGTCCAGGAGGGGTAACCTTTTCAATAATGTCTAGGATCTTCATGTTCCAAGCTCCCACCAAAGTATCCCTTTGGAAACCTAAAATTTGGCAACCGGAGGCTGCAGCTAGTGCAGAATGCCACAGCCAGGCTGCTGATGGGTCTCTCTACGCGGGACCACATCCGGCCTGTGCTGAGGACACTGCGCTGGCTGCCCATAGCGTACCGGATTCGGTTCAAGGTGCTGGTTTTAACCTTCAAAGCCCTTTAAAGTAGGGCCTGCCTACCTGAGGGACCGCCTTCCCCCCACACGTGCCCCAGAGAGCCCTGAGGTCAGGGTCGCAACACCGCTTGACCCTCCCTGGACCGAAAGAAGCCAGGCTGAACATCACCAGAGCCAGGGCTTTCTCCGTGGTGGCCCCACACTGGTGGAATGAGCTCCCGGAGGACATCAGGGCCCTGCGGGACCTTTTACAGTTCCGCAGGGCCTGCAAAACGGAGCTCTTCCGCCAGGCTTTCGATTAGGAGCCGCCACTGCTGAATGTGCCCTGGAACACCTTCTGGCCTGAGACCTTGCTGGATGCTACTCCTGCCAGGGCTCTTTTTGTAGCAGGAACTCCTTTGCATATTAGGCCACGCACCCCTAATGTAGCCAATCCTCCAAGAGCTTACAGAGCTCTTCTCACAGGGACTACTGTAAGCCCTTGGAGGATTGGCTACAATAGGGGTGTGTCGTCTAATATGCAAAGGAGTTCCTGCTACAAAAAGAGCCCTGAAATTATTCTCCTATCATTGGGTGTGATTTGGATTATCGCCATCATCTGTTGGTTTTTATCTGTAACTGTTGCTGTTTTAACCGGTCTCGTATTTTTAACTGTTTTAATCTCTGTATTGTTTACGTCGTTTTAACCCTGTTAACCCCCTTGAGCCAGCCTGTCCAGCAAGGCGGGATATAAATAGAAATAATAAAAATAATCACAACAATAATAACAGCAACAACAACAACAATAATAATAATTAAAAAATGCTCCAGAGAATTAGAGAATGCAGTTGAAATCATGAGACTCCATGGGCAGTCCATTTTACCACTTAAGAAAGCCCACAATAATCAGAGATGCCAAAAATCCATGGCCAGCCCTGGTAAAAAACCCTCAACATGGATGTCGGAAGTCTCTAGCACCATGCTGGAGAGCTGAGAATTTATGAAACCAGCAGAGAAGCCATCCGTGTGTCCTCCACAATCACACTGCAGCAGAGGTGCTACAAGGCAGGTGCTACAGGCCCCCACTTGGATCCGCCCCACTTTCTCCAACCCAGCATCTCTCGGCATCCTTTCTGATGCCCTCTCATGTGGTCCAAGGACTATTAGGCACAGCCTCACATCTCTGCATGGAGAACCCCGAACCCTTGCCACATGGGTGAACAGGATGGCATGACTCTTAGCCAAAGGGCCTAAACACGTCCCTCCTCAACAGTGACTTCCTAACTATGACCAGAGAAGAGCCATCGCCACATTCAACAGCATCGAGGAGAAAAGGATCCCTCACCCAGTGAGGCCACGTTCCCAAAGTTCTCCAGCATGACGTCCTTGTAGAGGGTTCTCTGGGCTGGGCTCAGCAGGATCCACTCCCCCCGGGTGAAATACACGGCCACCTCTTCGAAGGACACCGGACCCTGGAGGAGGAGGAGGAAGACGAAGAATGCAGTTCTTTCCATCAATGGAAATTGGTCCATGAGGAATAAATCCAGGCATGGGTACTAAAATGATTCCTGAACAGCAGCAGCCAGGAGGCGATCGGGTCCCTGAGGCATCCCCTTCCCACCTCTCCTTGGGAGGCAGTCTGGGGACAGAGAGGCAGCCGACACTCACTGGAGACGACCAGCCGGCAGCCTGCTCTGGCTTCCTCTTCCTATGACCCCTCTGCTCGACCTCAGGGCCGGCTCACTCACTAGGCGAACTAGGCGCTCGCCTAGAGCGCGCCGGCCCTAAGGGGCGCCAAAATGGCACCCCCCCCGCTGTCCTGGTTCAGCTGCAAAGACTACTGAGTTTTAAACATGTTATGATCTTTCTGATGATACAAACACCAGTTCCACCAAAGAACTTAGCCCTCTGGGCACAGAAGGGTCACTCAGCTGAGTCAAAGAGGAACCTAAGTGGGGGGGGGGCTATCACATAAGGACACTCAAGTTGCAACTGACTTATGGCAACTCCAGCAAGGAACTGTCAAGGCAAGTGAGAAGCAGAGATCGTTTGCAACTGCGAGTGCCTTTCTTTGCAGAGTCTTCCTTGGTGGAAGCCAGATGTGCAAAGCAGGCAAAGTTACAAAAGCAAAAGCGAGTGTTAAGAGCATGGGTGCCAGGGGAACGGGAGGTCCGGGGTACAGATCCAAATAATGGGTCTCATCCGTGGTGGGCACACCGGGGGGGGGGGCAGAAGGGATCCTCGCCTAGGGTGCAAAATAAGCTGGGGCCGGCCCTGCTCGACCTCTAGGAGGAAGGCGCTTCTGGAGAGAGAAGGATGTCAGCATGCAAAAAAGCACACTGGCATTTGACTGAGAGGAGCTCTCCTTTTTAACTCCCTCCGCGCTCGAAGTGCTAACTGGGTGGGGGCAAGACTCGGGGCTCCCTTCCAAGCAGGGGGAGGAGCAGATCAGTTGAGGCAGCAGCCAAAGGAGTGGCAGAACTGGGAGGATTCTTTCCTGTCATGACCTGGGAAGAGGGAACGCATCGGCCATGGGTGGAAGAGGGAGAGCTAGCTCTTTTGGGTGTGACTGAAACTATTTTTCAAACACACTGAGGAACACACTTCCAAGCCACTTCGAATGCACTTTCCTACTGGATTTTACTGGGTGAAACCAGATTGAAAGTGCGTCATTCAGTGGGTGTGAAAGCAGCACGGCAGGGGAGAACAAAGCGGCTGGAGGATTCTTTCCTGTCATGTCCCGGGAAGAGGGAACGCATCGGCCACGGGTGGAAGAGGGAGAGCTAGCTCTTTTGGGTGTGACTGAAACTATTTTTCAAACACACTGAGGAACACACTTCCAAGCCACTTCGAATGCACTTTCCTACTGGATTTTACTGGGTGGAAGCAGATTGAAAGTGCGTCATTCAGTGGGTGCGAAAGCACGGCGGGCGAGAACAAAGCCGTGCGAAGCCGAGGGCTTGTCCAGGTGAGGGGAAGAAGAGGGAACCAACATTCTCTCCCTCCAGAACGTCTTCTGGCCTTGGGAGACTGCCTCTTTCCTGGTCCTCGGTCCCAATGAAAGCCAGGTTGCTCACCCAGAAGTCAATAATCTTCTTGAGCAGTCTGTCTGAAGAGACAGTGGACCAATCATGTCAATCAGCCCAAATGCGTTGGCATTCATGACCAGGCCTGATTGGAGACCGACTGGGCACAAAGTACCCAAGGAAGCATCTATTTTCTCTTAAGGAGACTCTGCCGAAGTCTCCAGCGTGAGTGGTGTCCAGATTGGCCTCCATCTCCAGCAGGGTCTCTATGGTGGTTGCCCCAACGGAGTCTACATTCCGAAGTAAGTGCATTCTCGAAATTATAGCACATACTGCACGTGCTGGTTAGGGGGGAGGAGGGGCAAACGTGGAGGGTTGTGGCTTTCCCCCCGGAAACAGAGGAGCCCCAAACATCATGCATGTATGAAAACTGAAAGTGTGGCTGTCCAAGAGCCATGGAGTGAGTACCACTAACCAGTGTTCCCTCTAAGCTGAGTTAGTGTGAGCTAGTTCACAGTTTTATTAGCCTCCGGCTCACACATTTTTGTCTCAGCTCAGGAAGGGATGGCTCCAGAGCAAACTAATTTATGCAGCAGCCAAATCGCTCGCTCACAACTTTGATGCCAGGAGCTCACAAACTAGAAGACTCCACAAACAAGACTCCACAGCTTACAGGAAGCATTGCCACTAACGCAGACACCTTGAGTTTTTCTTTTCCCCAACTTTTGCATTCAGCTTTCCAATAAATATACGTACAAGCCTTTAAAGAGAAGCTTTTTGCCAGGAGTTAGCACAACCTCTGACCCCTGCATTCCTCACTTCAGCATCTTTTCTCCTTTTTTGGCTGGCGTACACCACTTCATTTCATTTTTAGATCATCCATAAGGAGCATACAGTCAACTTTAACAGGACCTACAAAGCCTCTAGAAGCCTCCTTGTATGAATATCTGGGAACTAAATATCTTGGAATATTAAAAATAGAGTTATATTCAAAGTAGTGAACAAAACGTCCCTGGCAATTTTGATCATCTCCCTCCCCTGGCGCATTTCTGCCCTGGACAACATCTGGATTACCATTCTTAAGAACGTGCTTAATGTTTAAATTGTTTAATGTTAATTCGTTCCTTAAACTATGAACGTTACTATAGGAAATGCTGTCCCCTGCCCTGTTATAAAGGGGCGGGCTATAAACCGAATAGATAAATATATACTTTGGTTCACCTCAGAAATATTTTAGAAAGCCAGCAGGGAGTAACAGTTAGAGTGCGGGACTAGGGAGACCCAGGTTCGAATCCCCATTTTGCAGACTTGCCCGATGACCTCGGGCCAGGGACATGGTCTCAGCCTAACCTACCTCCTAAGGTTGTTGTGAGGATAAAATGGAGGAGACAAGAATGACGTACGTCGCCTTGGGTCCCCACTGGGGAGAAAGGAAGCGTATAAATGAACTGAATGAAAAATAAAATTTTTCATATGAACGTATGAAGCCGCCTTATACGGAATTAGACCCTTGGTCCCTCCGGATCAGTCTTGTCGACTTAGAATGGCAGCAGCCCTCCAGGGTCTCAGGCTGAGGTCTTTCAAATCACCCCCTACCTGGCCCTTTCAACTGGAGGCAATGTTCCCTCTAAGGTGTGGAGCCTTGTGAGCAAAAATTCTACTTTGTGAGCGACTGGCATTAAAGTTGTCAGGGAGCGATTTGGCTGCTGCATCAGTTAGTTTGCTCTGGAGCCCTCCTTCCTGAACTAAGACAAAAATGTGTGAGCCGGAGGATACAAAGCTGTGAGCCAGCTCACGCTGACTCAGCTTAGAGGGAACACTGACTGGAGGTGCCGGGGATGGAACCTGGGACCTTCTGCATGCAAAGCAGAAGCTATACCACTAAGCCACGGCCCCTCCCCAAAAACAAACAGCACAAATGTCATCCCAGAGTCAGTTTTAGATGTACAGGCCTTTTTCTTTCCAGGGAGAGAGCAACGTCTCTCCTTTGTCCCACAAGGTACAAACAGAAATCAAGATTTTTTCCCCCCCTATGGCACAAGCAAGCCTTACACTTTTGTACAGGATCTTCTCAGCACGTCCCGTCCAACTGTCAGGAATTGCAAACTGATCTTCTGCCAGGAGCTCCGCAGAGAATATTCCTCCCACACACACATGCACACCTTTTTGGTTTGGCTGAGGGACTTCCAGCAAACCTCCACCTCTAGCCTTCCACTAGGGCTGCTAATTCCGGTGGGGGTGTGTGTGTGTCTTATTTGTCGAGGGCAAATTTGGGGAGGGAGCTCAGGAGGGGTGGGATGCCAGAAAAACCTGCCCCCATCTCTATGTGACGGAGAACTGTTGTGCCTTCCAAGACAGCTCTAGGCCTCAGTATTGGTTTATTGTCCCTGTTGGGGCCTCTCTGCACACATAACCCAAGACAGGCTTTCAGCAGAACCCGGGGCAAAGAGCCTGAGTCGGTGAGCCTGGTGACAGAGAAGAAGCGATTCCCATCTCCCCCGTGATCGCCCCCCTGTTACCTGAGCAGGCCTCATGGTGGATCTTTCCCCTCCACCACACGGAGATCGCAAAGAAGGCATCGAGGGCTTCTTTCCGCTGCTGCCTGGGCGGGTGAAAAAGACCAAGGGTGGGTAACCATTTTTTGACACCGATGTAATATCCGTTCCAGTTCCCAGAGTGACTCGCTTTCCAGGTATGAATCAGAGTACAGTTCAAGATCCTGGGAATAAGAACGTCAGAAGAGCCCTGCTGGATCAGACCAGTGGTCCATCCAGTCCAGTATCCTGGCTCACACTGTGGCCAAGCAGTTCCTCTGGAGGACCAACAACAGGCCTTCCCTTTATGCTGCCTCCTGGCTCTGGGATTCAGAAGATTAGCATCTCTGAATGTGGACGTTCCCCTCAGTCGCCAGGGATAGAAGCCACTGTTAGACTTATCCTCCACAAATCTACCCCCCCCCTTTTTAAAACTTTCGATTCCTGTAGCCCTCACCACATCCTTTGGCAGCAGACTCCACTGTTTAATGGAGTCTGTGTAGTCTTTCCTTTTTACCCAACACTGAGAAAGAGTTGCAAACTGCTGCACCCCATGATACCAAACCGAAGAAACAGACCTCCCAGTGTAAGGACTTCAAAAATACCATCACTTCATCAGTTGACTTGCTACGAAACCAAGCCAAAGCCGGCTGCTTTGTAAATTCTTTGGCCCTTAGCAGCGACTAGTGTACTGAAGTTCCACAATTCTTTGGCCGTTAGCAGCGACTAGTGTACTGTTTGAGACTAGTGTAATGTCTGAATATCATTAAGTTTCACAGTTCTGTATATCACTGAGATATTGTATGGCTTTGGTTTGTATGCCCTGTTGATATTTTGTATACAAGTGACTGTATTAGCGTACATACTTAAGGGTTTGAGTGGATCCATCATATTATTTTTGCCCCAGTCTTGTTATTTTTTTTTGCTATTAATATTTTTTTATTTTATAGTTATATTTTAACAAACATGTAACAATACCAGGATGGTGGAAGACAGGAGGGCCTGGCGTGATCTTGTCCATGGGGCCCCGAAGAGTCAGACTCGACTGTGCGACTGAACAACAAAACAATACCAGTCAAAACAAAGCGAGATACACTTGAAGTATAACTCAGAACAATTTACAAAGTATGGCTTTCACATTATTGTGAAATAAGGGGTATCCCCCCATACATCATCTATATGATTTATGTAATAACAACAGTAATATGTGAACGACAACAATAGTGATAGGAAAATACAGACCGTTTCAACACTACACTCTAACTGTGGAGAGAACATGACAAAAACAAGTAAGCTTCAATTCCAAGAATCATCATCATAACCATTGTTATTTTTGAAGCACCCTATGCTACCAACAGCATATTCTGAGAGGTGGGTGGGGGGAATAAAAATCCAAGGTAGGAAACTAATTCTGCAGTAAACAAAGGCCACTGTCTTACTGGGACAGAGAAAACTCCCACACAGTCACACTAGATATGAGAACCACGTATCTGGATATTAACTTTAACCTGAAGACACCTTCAAGGCAGTCTCCCCAGGGCAGCTCGGGAAGACAGAAAGGCCCCCTTC